TCTTTTAATTACAATGATCACTGTGGTTTTGCAGACACTTGATGTAGCAGTTTCTCTAGACTACCGAGAATCCAAGATATGTGATGCTCAAATGCATACACAGACTATGGCCCTTTTCAAAATCTCACAATCACCCTACTTCTTTTTACAGAGACTTTCCCCAAAGCACGAAAGCAAGTGAATTGGTTAGGAGCACGTGAATTGTTTAGGTTGAAAATTTTATTCATGGATCTAATTATAATAATTGGAAAATGGCAGTACTATCAGAAAAAACCCCATTATGGCTCTTTCTTTTATTATACAACTTACTTATAAGGGCTGAATCATCAACAACAAAAATGTTGTGGTCTTATTTCAATGAAATAAAAGCAGAGAAATAAAAGTGCATGCTCTTTTAGGTCCTTGACTGTATTGAATCTTCAACATTTTCATGTTTTAAAATAGATCTTGTAAATCCTATAGAGCATGCAATTATTGCCTTGAAAAGTCTAAAGCCTGAAAAATCTCATTAGCAGAATTAAGTATGCTGCTGGGGCTGCCCATCTCGCCTGGCCATGCTGTGATGTGTCACACGCTTCAGCAGAGCAGCTGGGCGAGTCTGGCACTTCCTTGCCACGGCCGGGGAAGGAACATAGCTGAGAAGCATGCAGGCAGTCAAAATTCATTTGGAAAGTGATTGTACGTGTACAACTTGCTTGGGTAACCTGGGTAAAAGTGGTGGCACGAGCCTCTGGCTGGTTAAAAAACACCAGAGCTGCATTCTTGATGGCTCCAGCTTGGTTTTACCCCTGTGAGAAGAATGGTAAGCGGTGAAGGTCACAGTATGATATTGCTTGGTTAATTTTGGAATTCAACTTCAAATATGGTTCTTAAAAGCATTTATTCTATACCCTTCACTTAGGAAGTCAAACAATCCTTTAAGAACTAAATTGTAGGAATCTATAGTTATGTAAAACTTCTGAGAAATCATGACAATGTGAACTTTAAAAATTTAAAATCGTTCCCAGTTTTTCCTGTATTAAAAAAAACACTTTTGAAATTCATGCTTTCAACTGTCTTACATTTTTTTCATGCAAAGTTCTCTGTTTGTTATCATATCAGCCTGGTTATGTTTTGGTGTTCATATATGCAAATATAATTAACACACAATATATCAATACATTATGTAACATATAAAATAACAACAAATTATGTTTTTATTTCTAAAAAGCTTCTAGGGTTCATTTATCTCTCACTGAACTTCCCAGACATAATTTGGTATGAAAATGAACAGAAAGAGTAAAGTAGCTACAGTACGTTTGTTTGCTGGTTTTTAAACGAGGAATGTGTAACACTTGGATTTAGCCTGTCAGCTTAACTACTTTGTCACCAAAGAAAAACAATATTCTGTGCTCTCCAAGCAAAGCTCAATGTATCTTTGCGACTCTAGTCAACACAAAGAATCATAAACCAAGATGATGACTGACACTGTGTGTGTGTTCTTTTTTAAAAAAGAAAACCCCGGTTGATGACAGTGCATACTTAAACTGTGACTAGTGTTCAATGTTAGCAGTTTGGGGAAATTTCAGATCAAAACTACACGTGGCTGGAATTTAGCCATATCTGTTTCATAATGTTAGCACTGTTGATTATTACTTTTAAAAACCATCTATTCTTTATCTTGTGTGTGAGCATACATGTGAATTGACCTATTAGTATTCGGAGCTTTGAAATCTGGTATAATTTTAAGCACATCACCCTCATAATATCTATTGCTGATTTCAAAATGCTGTGCAAACTCATTTGAGAATATATTGTAACTTTAAAAATACTTAATTTATATTATGATTTTCTCACTAATATTTCTATATAAACAATGTCATTATATTTTCTGTTTGGATTTTATGTATCCAACATTGCCTTGAAAGAAGATAGACTAGTTATAAAAATGCACAAAAAGAACTTTTTGTTCAAGCAATAAATGTTTCCTAGGACTTGATAATGGGAAGAGATTGTATCTCATATTTGAAATTCATGATGTTTGAGCCATTAAAAAGAAGCATCTGTGGACCTTATAAAGATTTTGAATATTTTGCAAACCAACTACTTGGTAGAAAGACATTAAGACACTTACTTTCCATGAATCCAGTGTCATAAAACTTGCAGTATTAATGTAGCAAAAGTTTCTTTACTTTGCTTTTTTTAACCTTTTCTTGATCCTGAGCTATTCACACTAACTTTCTTTCAGCTTTTGCTTTATCGTTAATTCTTCAGTGGCCTCTTCTATTTTCAGAGACCCAAGTAATTATAGAAAGTATATTATCAAATCTATTTTAAACCTGATCTCTCACCCAGACCCTTGTTTCCAATACTGTCACTCTAATTTCAGCATAATCGGCTCTACATGTCCATCGGAAATCGGTTCAAGGACCCCTGCAAATACCAAAATCAGCAGATGTCCAAGTCGGTTGTGTAAACTGGCTGTGAGTTTGAATATTACCTATACACATCCTTTCTTACACTTTAAATAATCCCTAAAATCATCCCTAGATTACTTATGATACCGAATACATTATAGGTGCTATGTAATTATGTTTTAAACTTTTTAAAGGAAAAGAGACAAGCAAAAGCCTCTAGGTGTTCAGTAAATATGTAAGTTTTTAAAATAATATTTTGCTCTATGCTTGGTTGAATCCCTGGATGTGGGTTCTATTCATTAGGAGATTTAACCTTATATCTCCATTAAAATCTTTTCATACAAGTCTGGTAACCTTTTTAAAAGACCATTTTGGACAATGGCACTGCCACTGTTCCCATTTCCTAAGTTCTTCAGGTTGTTTAGACTGTACTGGTCTCAGTTATTTATTCCTATACCCCAGAATTTCATCTACTCATTTCTATCCAGTGAGATTTCAAGATAATCTCCCTGACCTCTCACTCTAAACTGTTTTGCTCTTTGATACCAAAGAAATTTTCCTAAGAGATCACTTTCTTATTGTCTACTGTTTCAGAAGAAACAATACAATTCCTTACTCACTGTGTAGTCAATCCCAAACTCCGGCTTCCTTCAAACTTTTACTATCTAAAATTACTAGACACACCCAAACATATTTTCCAGTGTCTTCTCAACCAATTCTTTATTTATGCTGCTGGTTTCGCATCCTCACCTTAATATTAAGAACTCACCCTCAACTCTGGCTCATCTTTTGTAGGTGTTTGCTTTTTTGGTTTCTGTTCATATATAGATGACTCAAAATTTGTAGCCTATTTCAATTTCATATCTTCTATCAAGCAACTGCCTTTGTTGTTCTTCAGACCTATAACTTTGTATGTAGTCCTATGGGATTGAACTTTTAAATAGGTCTTTAATGATTTTGTGAATTAGTGTTAGTTCACTCACAGATCTTGAGATTCTCCGGAAGGAGAATTATGTTATGTTAGTTTAATGCTTCCTTGCTCCTAGTATTCAGAAGAATGGTAATTTCACAAAAAGTGCTCAATAAATGCTTGTTATTAATTGGTATTTCTTTGGAAATAAATCTGTCAGGTGATGGAAAATAAAGGTAGAATTGAATTATTAATTTACCAAAATGTGCAGCATTAATTAAAAATAAACTCTGTAACCAAAGGTTGAATGAAATTCATAGAAAGAATATTTGCTACCTCATTTTGTGTGTTCCTTTTTACCTTTCTTCAAGATGTTTTAGAATTTACTATTATATCTCAGCAGGTCTGAGAACATATGTTTGGGGCAAAATCAGGAAGCTATGATTGCAACATTGTCAGCTACTTATTACAAGGATTTCAGATCAAATTATGTTGATATACTTATTTTAAAGAAGAAAGTTTAAAAATATGCTCAGAAAGCCAGGCATTATTAGTCAGATTCCCATGGTGTCAGCATTATACCCTCAAGCTGTAATATATCTTTCATAACTCCATCTGTGCTAGATTTACTTCCCACTGGTATTCTAGAAGTCTATAAATAAATAATAGTAAAGTATTTTATTCCTATTCCTTCACAGAATTGAATAATTTGTACCATGAAGTTACTATCCTAAGACTCGATGTATTCTAATCATACAGTGTAATCAACTTCATTTACTTCTTTCTAACAAATAGTAATATGACAGTAAAAATATTTTCTTTCTATCTACAGTTTAATTGTAGTCATCAAATCAAACCTTCCTGAGTGGCTTTTAGCATTTTTAAAATAATATGGAAAATATAGATTTGCTCATCCTTGATTGAGCAAAATGAATTCAGAACTACTTGCATTTTCTTTTTTTGTCTGTTTTTTTTTTTTTTTCTTTTGAGACAAGGTCTCGCTATGCAGTTCAGGCTGGCCTTGAGCTCACAGCCCAGGCTGGTCTCGAACTCCCAATGATCCTCTTGCCTCAGCCTCCCGAGTGCTGGGATTACAGGCGTGCACTACCACTTCGGGCCACATTTTCTTAATAAACATAATACTTTCATAAATAAAATGCTCTATCATAGTGAATAAAACTCTCAAAAACCTTGCAAAGCTTTCACATTAAAACGCTGAAAGCAAAGCCTAATACGGAATATAAAGAGATGATACCGGCACAATTAGCAATAAAATGTCATTCATTAAGAAGAACATAACATAGTGCAGAGCTGAATGTACTAAATAGCATCCTTTTTTGACAGCAAAATTTTTAAATCGACTTTTAAATTACCAAGAAAATAAATGCATTAATTGTTCAGAATAGTGATTTCCTACAGAAAGTTGAGCTTTCTATAAATAGATTTTCCACTTTCTCATGATTTTCCAGCATTATCTTAAGACTTTCAATATTATTCTTTTAAGCATTGGTGTGTGTGATCCTGGGAGTTGAACCTAGGACCTCCCTCATACTAAACATGAGCTCTACCGTTGAGTTATATCACCAGTTGTAATATTACCTTTTACTAATGCACATAAACACAAAAGCAATACTTAAAAACCATGGTGCATGCCTATACTGCAAAATGAGCCCCAAATTTAAAAACAGTATTACCTCTTTGCTTTCTTCTAGTTCTGACTCACTGCTGAACTCTTCAGTATTTAGGTTTTCAAAGTCGGACTCTCCAACAGCAATTGGCACTGTTACAGTTAGACTGGGGTTGTTGATGAATGACATATAATCGTTTTCATCAATTACGTACTTTTCAACACTGCTTCCCGTACCCACACCACTGGTGGTTCCATTCCCATCTTTCAGGTAATTAAGCTCTTTGCTTATCTCAATTGCAGTGTTATTGGACATGCAGCTGTCTATTTTGTTGCCTTCATGGATTTCTATAACTTTTGGCTTTCGAAAAAAGGCTTTTCGGAAACACTCCCGTATCTTATTCTTCATATAATCGATTCCCTTTTGCATTCTTCCTATAGCAATCTGGAGATTGTTCATTTCATTATCATCATCAGTAGCAGCAAGGTTGTCTGAGCTAAATGAACTCAACAGTAAGGCCAGAAAGAGGTTCAGAACCTAAAAGGAAAAAAAAAAAAAAAAAAGAAAAGAAAAGAAAAGAAAAGAAAAGAAAAAGTTCTACTTATATTGAAGTGTGCATAAAACTAACAGGCTAAACAGGAACCTCATAGATCTTTGCTAAAATTGTTTTAACAAATGCTTCTTGGATGCTTATTATATTTCTGATATCATGTCAAAGTTGTACACTGTTTGAAGGACCTTGTATCTTTTACCTGTTTTAAAGCCACAATGACAAACCAAACATCTCTCCTGTCCCACTGAGAAGAAGAAGAAATCAGATCTTTTAATGCTTAAATTGTATCTACTCAGGCTTGCCAGTGAAAAGACAAAAATATCACTTTTAAGGTTTTTTTGTCCTAAAAATATATTTCCAATTTAATCAATTTACTTCACCTTTCCAGTTTGTTTAGGCAATGTCTGTTTTCATATGTGTAAATTAGAAAAAAAAACTCTATTTAATACCCTACTGATGTGTGCAAAAATAATATACTTGAAATACAATTTCCATTGGTCTAGTGGTCAGAAATATTTATAATGGCTGAAAATTCCAAATGCAAATTATATAAGGCTTAACATATTTCCCATCAAACATACTTTGAAATTTATGTGTTTAAATGGCTCAACAGATGGAGACAACTCTAAAATTATTTCAACGTTTAGGCTAGACCAATAGAATGTAAGTTGCTTTTTTCCTTCCTTTTTTGTGGAGAAAGTATGAGGAAATGTTAATTCTGAGAGTGTGATTGGGAAACACAGGAAAAATTATTCAATTAAGTGATAGCCTGGCTACTGCAGAAATAATTCAAGCTTTTTGATATGAAAGTAAATTTATTTATAGGAATGTTTTAAACTTGAAACATAGTTATGGCTATCTTCTATGGTGGTAAGATAAATGTAAAGCAAGAATCCCAGTTTGTTTCCTTATTTCTGCATCAGATCTATGCAATCTAGAACTTTCTAATTTAGAACCTAGAGGTTTCTAATTTACTTTTCTCAGAAAAAAGTTACACATTGTTAGGTAACTTACCAGTATTCATTTTAGAAATCTCATTTGAAATGTACCCTTTGGAGGCTTAGTATGATTTTGTAAAGAAATTCTATGTCTACACACGACTGAGAAATTTAAGCATTAAAACTCATACCTGTAGAACATTAATACTTTTAAGTCACGGCTAAAAGTAAATCTTTTATATCTGTTCAGTGTTCATACACATGAATAATCAAACTTTAGTAATTCATTTTCCTTCAAATTTCCTTTCCCTGACGTAAATGCAGGGAAGAACATATTTAGTAGTCTTCTAAGCTATTTGGATAATTATAATCCACAGAAAATATCCAAATGCTCTGTTTCACAGATATTTGTCTTCAAAGTTTGGTAGTGTCCAACCTACATCTCTGAGTAAGTGAACAATGTAAACTATGAACCTGTAAAAAGTAATTTCAATATAGAACTGATAGTTATATTTTAGATTTAGTAGAGATTACCTTATCAAACAAAAATTAAGATAATATTAGTTTTCATGATAAAAATACATCTTTGAAGAAGAAAAAAAGTAGAATATTTATGATCCTCCAACTTTTATTAGATCAGCTACATTTAGTCATCATTATATCATGTGGTTTCTGTTTTGTTATTCTAGTACACTAGATAGGGAGCCTAAGCTCCAGAGAATTTCAGTAAGTTGTCCATGCACAGAGTGGGATTTGAGTCTGTCATTTCTTATAAAATCAGAAGTATATTTACCACTCAGGCTATTTTATTATCACTGTCTTGTCCCCTTCTCATTTGTAACACACACTTACCACAAGGTTTCCAATGACCATGACCAACATGAAAACAATAAGGCACATGGTTTGGCCAGCGACCTCCATACAGTCCCACATGGTCTCTATCCACTCTCCACACAGCACGCGGAACACGATCAGGAAGGAGTGGAAGAAGTCGTTCATGTGCCAGCGTGGGAGTTTACAGTCGTTGTTGATCTTGCAGACACATTCTTTGTAGCTCTTGCCAAAGAGCTGCATGCCAACCACGGCAAAGATGAAGACGATGATGGCCAACACCAAGGTGAGGTTCCCCAGAGCCCCCACGGAATTGCCAATGATCTTTATCAGCATGTTCAGTGTGGGCCAGGATTTTGCCAACTTGAAGACTCGGAGCTATAATCAAACAAAATATGCTCTTAGTGGTAATCATAACATAATTTTGTACATTAGACATCATTTTATTAGTGTATCATGTAGAACCACACCTGAGGGCTATAAAAACCTAAAACATACTAAACTAATTCAACTCCACATACAGAAAATATAGTGTTAATAGTACTAGAATTATAAATCAAATAATATCATTGAAATGAAAAAAATTCCCTTTTTGATTGATCAAAAGGTATAGCCATAAAAACAAATTGCTACTTTGAATATAAACTTTTTAACTTTAGCAAAAAACATCTCTTCAGACTCTATTTTGCTCTTATTTTTAATTTTTATTTTTGTAGCAGGTGGGAATCAAACTTAGGACCTAATGCATATTAAGCACATGCGCTACCTTTGAGATACATCCTCTGCCCTTGCACTCTATTTTATTTTATTCCAAAATTTTTATTAGTGTAAATTGGCTATGCAGATTAAAGGACTTCAATTTGGCATATTTGTACATGCACATAACATATTTTAATCATTTTCCCCTCATATCCCTTTTTTCTACTCTCTTTCCTACTTTGGACACTAAGATGAAATATCCAAAGTATTGTATATTCTTCATTGGCCATTAAATTAGAATAAAATTGAAATAACTAATTTGATAAGAAGATATAAAATTATTCCTTTCCATTTGAAAAATTGTATATTTACTTAATTTCAGAGAAATTGCATATTTTTCAATATATTTTTTGCTGTAATTATAGAAACATGTTATTGTTCAAAATGGTAAAGGCATTAAATATTTCCCTAGTACTTCCCACTAGTAACATAGGGTGGATTAAAAATTTAAGATTAATTGGGCCCTAAAATTTTTATTTGAATTTGTTTACAAATTGTAAAGCCAAAAAAATCATAAATTTAAAATGAATTAGAAAACATAAGCATATTTTAATGTACCCACAACAGCAGGAGAAATATCAATCATTTTTATTATTCTTAGGAAATAGATAAAACACAGCTTTAGAGGCAATGTTCACATATTTTCTTAGAAATCACATATTGATGTAAATTTAAAACAAGAAAAGAACTATATTAACTATATAAAAATACACATTTGAAGTACTATACTAGTGAGAGATCAGATATAAGCACAGTATAAGAAGATACCAGTCTGAATGATCGTAGTACAGATAATCCCTCCACATTTGCCAGACCAAGTTCCATTAAACTCAGGCTGACAATAATTCCATCAAAGATATTCCAGCCCTCTTGAAAATAATAATAAGGGTCCATAGCAATAATCTTGAGAACCATTTCTGCTGTGAAGATCCCAGTGAAGACCTAAAGTAAAATAGAATTAACTCTTAAACAGCACTTGTAAAGCTTTGATTTTGCAATAATTTATAAAGAACATTACACAGTAACTATAGAAAAGAAAATTTAAATTTAACAAAACCAAATTTAGTATCTCCCTAATGGTTATATTTTGTTGTGTAAGATTTTCTTATTTTAAAAAATCAACTAGATTCCCAAGGGGGAAAATATAGATTTTAAAGTATCTTACCATTAATATTTTAAATCTGATGCTGAGCAATAACCAGTCAATTACTGCTTTTTCAGTACATTATCTTTCTACAATCACATTTATTTTTTATTTTATTTATTTTTTATTCTTATTTTTTGTTTTTTTCCGGTACGGGGAATCGAACTTACAAGCTTGCGCTTGCCAGGCAGGCACTGTGTCGCTGAGCTAAATCCCCAGCCCCCACATTTATTTTTTAGATGACTCTACATCTAGAATGAATTCACACATTGTTGAAAGTTAATACAATTACTTAAATTTTGGTAAAAATATTTTGCTGTAGTTTTATGTTTTTCTTTAAAGAAAACAATGCACTTCTATAATTTCATAAAAAGAGTGTGTTTGCCATAAATGTCTTATAATAATTACCACTGGGTACATGTCTCAGAATTAAGGTTAATGGAATACTAATGGAATATTAACCTTAATATTAATTATATTGATAAATGGAGAAAGAACTGCAGCTTTAATAGAAACCAGCAGGAAAGCACTCTCAGTGTTCATATACACATAATTAAGATTAACAAATTATTTGAGTGGTTAGGTAAAATGTGTATTTGACAATAGAAAGAAAAACAATAAAACAAAGTCAGCACTTGCTTTTCAACTTAAAACCACAGGTGAGGAGACACAAGGATATAATGAGTTATGAAGTTACTCTTGTGAAAAGCAATTCTCTTTATTCTCTGTCGGTAAATGCTATATTTTATGATAGTAAGGTCAAGCTTAATCTTTACCAAAGTAAATCAGTCTTTATCTTGGAGGAATTCTGTCAAAATAACAGTACTAAAGTTATTTGCTATCCTCAAATAACACATTAATTTAAAATAATCTTTTATAAAGATTATTTTTATCTTTATAAAGATATAATCTTTATATCTTTATCTTTATATCTTCATATCTTTATAATCTTTATATCTTTATAAAAGATTAATTTATACCACTATTATAAAAGTATAAATTTAGCTAACCTTTCAGTTTCTCAATCAAGGGAAATTGTCAGGAAATATGCACCCCAGAAAACACAGGGTTACTTCTGCTTGTCATGCATTACTCAGGACAAAATAACACACATTCTAAGCAAGCCTGGAACATAAAAATCTGGGCATGTGGCAGAAAGCTCATTGAAACATTTAAAAAAATGTTATAGAGGAGTTCATCATGGGGTTTTTTTCAAGTACTGAGTTTTCCTAGTGAACTTAAAGTAAATTCTACTTACACAAATTTTATTTTTATATAAAACTCTTAGAAGCACATATTATCTAAAATAGGAACTTTGATGAGAGAAATGCTTTAAAGTAAGCTAGAAATTCTCTAGGTAAATGATTGTCAGTTGTATCTTCCTACAGAGAATCATAAGATGATTATGTCCAGGTCTTATGAAATGATTAGATCTCTTATATTTAAAAAAACCATATCCTAAACATGTACTCTTTCACCCAAAATGTAATCCCATTGTTAAACTTCTCATTACAAAGAATATTTTAATTACATTACAAATCAAACTCACAACTATATCACTTTACACGTCTTCAATTTAGAGCCCAAATAAAATGAGGGAGGGAGAGACAGAGAGAGAATGTAAGAGAAAATATTCCTCATATCATGGGCTTGAGCTTTATTACACATCATAGGTGGTTATACAGCATATTTGTGGGGAGTTTATAGTTTGCTCATTAAAATAAATTTGTATTTCTATGAAGTAGTTTAATATTGCTGAGATGATTGCATACTGATTTACAGATAAAGACATAAAAGTTTTGGTTGAATGACTAACAAAGGAACATAAAAGAGCTATGAGACCTTCAGTCCTTTTTTAAAATTTTGGAATGGTATAATTGTTGCTCTGCTCAGCTGTATTTAAATTTTATTTTTCTATGAGCACATGTTTGTGATACATAATGAATACATTCATCAAGGTGAGGTGGTATGTATGTATTGTAATATATATATATTATGATTTAATTTTTTTTTTACTTTCCCTTTCCCTTCACATTCTGCCCTCTCCTTCCATCCCTAAAGCCTTTTCCTGTTTCCAGAAGGTCTACTTCCCTGTTTTTCCCTTAGGTCAATATGCTCTCTTTTAGATCTTCTTTCTGTAGAACACAGAAATTACATCACTTTCCAGCTTATTAGATTGACCAAATTTGCGTGCTGAGACATCAAATCTCCATTGAATTTCACAGGGATGTTCTGTGTTTTTCTGGGAGGTGTTGCTTGTTTTTTTACTTTATTTATTTATTTTCTTTTTAGCTTTTAACAATTTAAGAGCTCATGCTCCTACCTCAGGCATTCTGTACACTAAAGAGTCCAGGTCCATTAGCCATGCAGGAATTTAGACAATGTCTTTCTCATATAAACATTTCCAACTAATCTGACAGTACTAAACTGGGAAAAACTGTGCAGTGCCTAGACTAAACTGCAAAAACAATATATACTTTTTCATTTGTGTAAGCAGAATAAGGGTTGTTATGGTTAACAAATAAGATACTGTCCTGGAAATTACTTTGCAAAAGATGTGCTGTTTTATTGACATGGATATTATTATTAATTATAATGAGTTTTCAGCCAGTAGAGACTGTCAGTTTACGTATTTCCTTGTTCTTGCCAAGTATAGATAAATGTCTTTCTTATTTCTGCCTTCTGTCCCAAAGAGTATTGTTTGTTCAGCACTAACCTGAACTTAATGTTGATTTTTATCACAATCTACTAGTCATTATTATCCTCACTTACTTCCTTACCTCATTATTTAAGTCACTACCACAAAGTTACAGACTTTTATAACTAAAAGGGACATGAAAGTCATCTACTCCAACCCACATTTTGTTTGTCTGTGAGTTGAGAAAGCAGACTCAAGGATCTAAGTGAGATTTTCCTGACCACAAAGACATTCAGCATGAGCTCCTGGACTAGGACATAGGCACGGAAGCCTAGTCTAGTGCTTTTCCACTTGGTCATTCTGTTATTCAACATCTCTTATCCTGTTCTTTTCTGCTCAATAGCTTCATCATTGGAAGTCTATTAAACCTCTTTTTCCTGCTTTGCTGTGGTAAATTTCCAAAATATTATTCACCTGTTCAATTTCCCCAACTGTCCAATATCCTGGGGAAAATACAAGAGCTAAAGCAGAAATATTTTCCATCGGTATTTCAAAGAAAGGTCCAAGAGGTTAATAGCATGTATACAGGAAGAAGGAAGCTGTTTAATGAGCACAAGCTAGATGCCAGGCATGCCGGTAGGTGTTTTCACATTATCCCATTTGACCTTCACAACAATTCTCAGGGATGGGTATTATTGCATCCATTTCAATAACAGTAAAGAAAGACTCAGATTGTGTATCATAGTTTCCAGACAGCATATTATTCTTAAACACTGGAAACCATAGTCAAATCCAGTCTACCTGATTCTAAAGCTTGTGCTGTTTCACAAAAACATGCTCCCTGAAACAGCCTTTTTGGGAATGAAACCACCCATGGGTTGGCTATTTGTTGAATGACCTTTATGAGAACTGGGGGAGATACAAAAGAAAGAAGGGACATCACCTTTGCCACTGCAGTAATTGTAAGTTACAACACTATAGTAACTTATAATAACTACAGTAATTTATATCAGGCATGGAATCAAAACACATAGCATAATAAAATATCTAACATTATGCACAAGTGCCGTAGGAGTTAGGAAGAGTTTCAACATGGCCTGAATATTAAGTTAGAGGAGACATCCTTAAAGTGAACCTTGACCAGTATGAAGAATTGAGATGAAATAAATGAGAATTCTATGTATGAATGTTGAGAACAGTGAACAATGAAATATCTTCCAATACGTAAATCTGTAAATATTTGCATGGTGTAAACATTTGCATAGTGCGGGACAGGGTTAATCTGATTGGGCTGATGGTGCCTGCTCAGGAAACAATGGTGGTAGTAATAGAAATATTATATTAATGACATTTTAGGATAAAAAATATATTCAAAGAGAAATAATGGGCCTTCACAGCAAGGTGATATAAGAAATGAAAGGTGTCACATGCCAAAATGCCAGCGCTCTGGCAGGCTGAAGCAGGAGAATCATGTTTGAGCCTAGCCTGGGCTACTTTGCAACTTAGCAAAACACTATCTCTAAGTAAAAGATAAAAAAAGACTGAAGAGTAGCTCAGTGTGAAGGTGCTGGGGTTCAATATCCTGTACTGGAAAAGAAAAAGAAACAGAAAAAGAAAAGAATAAGTAAGTCATCAAGAGCTACAATATTTTCTATCTTTGGGGCTAGAAGGATGCAATAAAGTTAACATTAAATACAAGTGAGGCTGAGAGTACTTCCAATAAGTGGTGATAAGAGGATTTTTCATCTCTGTATACAGGGAGTTTAAAGTAATCCAGTCTTTGAGTAATCATTTGGTAATAGCTGGAAAATACTACTGGGTCACAACTTATACTGCTGGAGTTAACAATTCCTGCTGCTACTGAGTACACAAAAACAATGAGGGAAAAACATACCCTTAGTAGGTTTAAGGATCCTCCCCCCAGTAATGAAGTCCAGTGGATCACAGAGAGCAAAGAAACAAAAACTCATTACAACATGTGAATAATAAAGAATACATTGATTGCCTGAGCCAAATAATGCAGAGAAGGTGAGGTCACTTACTAGGATACACATTTGTGGAATTCATCGCCCACTGTTCTTTAAAGGTCATATTTTCACAAGATCTCACATCCTACCGATGCTGATTAAATAGAATTGTGTCAGAGTTCTGTCTTGAGAATCTTTGAATTGGAACTCAAACACAGCTCTACCATTTTCTAGAGCAAAGGCTGTGAGATGCAAAAACTGTGAACTGTGAGACAAAAGATGCAGGAAGTGCTTGGGCTACCCCCAAGACTCAACAGCGGCTGCTACTGCACCTCAACTTCAGTGCTACTGTTCCCAAGGTTTCCAGTTCACTTTACTTTCCATTTTGTGGGTCAGTTCCTTCCTTCCCTAAAGCCGAGTTGAGTTGGTACTGAGGAAAGTCTTGATTAATCATTTCTGTAATGCGAACTCATACTATCATGTTGAAACTCTTAGAGAAAGGATGAGGGAGGGAGGTGGAATCAGAAAAGAAAGGAACTAATTTTTTTATGGCTTAAGCATTTTACATATAGTCATGAGTAGCTTTTTTACTGATGAAGACCTGAGGCTCAAAGATAGTAAATAACTTCCAGAAATCCCCACAGTTATTAAGAATCTGAGGACCAATGTGAATAACCAATTTGAAGATATCAATATGTAACACAACATTGTTAATTTTCTAGCACCTTGTCTGAAATTCTGTATTGTTTGTACTGTTTCTGTGTTATTTTCTAAATGTATGTGTGTTTGTTAACATGTTTTTGTTCTTTTATCTTTAAAATAAAGAAAAAAAAAGGAATCTAAGGACCATACTTTTTTGGAAGTAGTGTGTTGAGTAGTGACTTTCCATTAAATGAGATGGAGATTTCTAAGGCAAAACTGACATGAATAAAAAGTTACCTTCCTTAAGGTTAGACATTCTAATTCTAAGGGCACATTTAATCATGACAATTGGAATTGCTGAACCTCAGCACCGATTAGATCCCTTTGATTAGACAGAATAGTGCTATCACTACAGCTTTTAACAAGCCAAAGGACATCCATTCACATTCATGACTATACCAAGAGACAGTGTACTCCAGGCATATATAAACTACTCCTTAGAAACTACACTGTTCCTTAATTTTTACTTGAAACATTTCCAGGTGTTAGGCACTAGGGACATAGGACAGCAAAATAAACATAATGACTAATATGCTATGATTATCTATAATGTTTTTAAGTACTAAAATTGATATATTCCATTATAAGCAAGCGTAACTTTATGAGGAAGAGGTATGTGACTTCTTGAAGGTTGTAACTTAAGAAAACTGACCTAGCATGGAGGTCACAGCAGGCACACTTGTCTATCCAATTTGTATAGCTTTAAGTAAAATGTATATACACACATAGATACAGAGGCAAGCTCAAGTAACTGAAACAAAAGTATTGCTAAATTACAAACACATTTTTGCAAACTATTTCTCCTCCTGTATGATATCACTGAGGCATTTTATTATGTAATTCAATTTAAAACAATTATGCTTTTTTCCCCTTTAAAACAAAAGTCAATCCTTGTGTCATCTCTTCCATGTATGATTTCTTTTAGGGCTGTTGGAGTCAAAACTTTGTAGAGTCAGAATATCACAATTTCTCTGGACCTACATTTCCAGTAAGAAAAACTGTGAAGACAGTGATGCATTAACAACTATAACCATGATTAACCGGCATAGACATGGACCTAAACAAACAATATTGAAACCAGTTGACTCTGATTTCTGAGGTTTCCTGTAATTTTCCTTCAGATGTTTCTTTCTCTGAAAAAAGAGGGTGTAGTTTTTCGACTTCAACTCAGCACAAATTATATTTTCCTTTGGATTATCTCTCCCACTCCTCCCAAAGAAAGTGAGTAAATTTCAAATGAACTTACCAGGTTCCCTACAGTCAACACACTACTGAATTGATCAGTCATGGGGTAGTGTTCCATGGCCATAAAGAGAGTATTTAAGACAATGCAAATAGTGATGGCAAGATCCACAAATGGATCCATAACAATTAAATTCACAAGATGCTTTACTTTCAACCATGCATCGCAGCAATCCCAGATTAAGAACACATTGGCAAATCTATACCAGCATGGCGGACATTTCTGTCTAGATTCTTCAAGTTCTGGGGAGACAACAAAGTTGAGAGGCAAATAACAATAAAAATAAACTATTCTTGCCAGCAGATTTCGTTTTTTGTTTGATAAATCTAATGCTTATACTTGAAAACAGACATTCACAGTAGATAAACAAACTTGAGATGACAATCTTATTAAATTTTTCCATAAAATACTATTTTAAAATATCATTCACATAAACTTTCTTTTTTTAATTACAAGAAATAAGCACTTGGAATATAATTTATTTCAAAGTAACTAGTGACAGAAAATAGAGTTCTAAATAAGCTTTAGAACAATGTTAAATTTAGTAAATTATTATTCTTTAAAAGTGCCTTTCCAAGAACACTATCTAAAGCTCTGATCCTCATTAACATGTGTTTCTTATTGTCTCCTCTGAATGTCTCCAAATCAATGTTATTATTCCACATGGTAAGAATGTAATATGGTTTTTCTTTTCAATATAGATTCAGACCCAAATCTATATCTGTGATTTTCTAGCTTCATATATGAACAAATTACCAGTAATTTTAATGGACATATCCTGTTATAAATATAATATTATATTACTATTTGGAAATCCAATATTTCAACACAACACATACAAAATGTAATTGGTCTTTTCTAGAGAGAACATATGTTACAACTGAATTCTATAATTGAGTTACAAATTACAGTACTAATGTAATATTTCTCTGAACTCCAAGAAATAAAGATTTGCTGGATGTATGGGCAGGGAAGTAATAGTTGCTGACCACTTCTGCGTATTTAAATCGACAAGTGTTAATGTTTCCTGTCCCACTGAGGAATGTTATGATTGCTGCGTATCTACAAGATGGAGGAAATATATTTTTAGAGTCCTTAATGGAGTGGGACACCAATCTTAATTTGTCTAACTCCTTTACATTTGTCTCTGTGACATTATTGCATGTCCAGACTTTAAAAACCTGGTGTTTCCTCTGTCTGCAGAAGACTAATACGTATTAGAATGAATCTTCACTGCTACAATGTCAAATGGCAAACTATCACTCTCCACATGCAATAAACATCCAAGTGCAAAATAAATAGACTGGAATTGTTTTATAATCTATATTTAGTAATAAGGAACTCTTGTTATCATACACATATGTCTATAATAGAGTTGTAATGTTGGAAAGCAGATACCAATTACAGCAAGAAGAAAGAAGAGCTCCGCGAAACCTACGATCACTAGCAAGCGAACTCTCTCATGGCATGTTTCTTACCCTCCATCGTGTTGGTCAGGATGCTGGCTATGCTCATGGCTCTCTGCCTTCCAGAGGAATCCTCCAGCATTTCCAGTGAAATCTGGTAAGAACTTAGCCTTCTTTTTCTGACTTCTGTCTCCGTGGTGGTGCCCTGCAAACCAAATACCAATAACTCAAACCACTCTTTTCAGTGAATAATATAAGACCACATATATCTCTTTGGAAAACCATGCTGCATGCAATTTTATATGGATAACAGTTTTTAATAATTGTTGGTTATGTTATAAACATTTTGTAAAAAGTCACACATGATAGCCTTTCATGAGAATTCACTGGTTGGATGCAATTATATAGGGCAACTGTGTTACAGAAATATTTCAATTAACATGTCAGAGTTTTCAGGGAGAATTTTCTAAGCATGCCAGAGTATGTCATTATTTCATTCAAATAAAAGCTGTTTTTCTTCTTATATCAATTATTAACAGCCAGCTCAATCTTCCCCCAAAGTAAATGCTATTGTATAGTCTCAAGGCTGAATTACTCCCTTTGAGGCTATATTGATATACATGGGCCAAATTTTTGCCATGCACAAACACAGATGTACAATGAAATGTGTGTGCTTTCCTGATATTTCTTTAATTATTTCTATATGTCGTCCTACACAAAATCAACATTTTATTTTAGAGACATTTTAAATTTTAAATAGAATACTGACAGTTTTGTTAAAACTGACCATTATCATTATATTGGTCATTGCAATATTTAAGAAATATGAACTTTTTGGAGTATGAATAGACAATTATATAACTTTGGGTGAACGTACATCTAAGATAAAGATTTGATTGTCAAAGCACTCATTAATTTGTATTGGTAGGTCTACTGAATTTGCAGATAGGTTTCATCCAAGATTCTCAAAATTGGGCCTTTTAACCTAAAGCATTTGAAAGCTAATGGCTTTATACAATCCAATTGGTTCTCAAAATTTTGTTTCCCATTCAGTTAGTCATGTGTTGTTTTGAAGGACTCTTATTTTGGGGGAGCAAGATGGTATAACAGGCTAAACTGTCCAGACCTTGATTATTTTGATTGCTGTATAATGCCAGTAGTAGCTACTTTATCTATTTTCACCTCTGGCTGAAGTGGTCCAGTAGGTGACGTTAGAGTTGATGGTCCACCCACCAAGGAAACCACACCATTGCAATCCACAGTGCTGTGCATCTTCCCATTTGCTGGAAGCCCTGGCACCATCCTGGATGACATACTGGCCTGACTAACGTTACTGTTGCGTCGCTCTCCATGTCTGGGCGGCACAAACAGTGAGTCTCTCCTGCTCTCGCTGTCTTCAAAGGTGCTGTGCTCATCATCAGCGAAGTCATTCTCAGATCCCACATCCTTGGCCCGTCCTCTGAAGCTGAAAATGCTTGTTTTGCTGTTGCGTCTTGGGGAAAACAGGGAGCCACGGATGCTCAACAGAGACTGAGGAGAGAGTGAGGAGGACAGGAATGGGAAAGGGAGCAGCATGTGCGATGGGTTATGATTGTTTAAAAACATATTTTAATACTGTAGAAACGATTCATCTTTAGATTGCAGTAGTCTTGCTCTTAAGCATAGGTTATCCAGTTTATATAGAGCACATACCATTGGGCATTTTTATTAGAGTATAATAATACTAACTACAAAGAATGTTGTTTTGATTAGGAGCTGACTTGCAATCTACAAAGTGCCCAGCCATTGTATTTAATGTTCACTAATTTAATCTCATGACTTGGGTTGTGTTACCAGGATGTGGCAGGGGAGGCACTAGAAGCTGTGGGGGATAAATGACTGTTTTTGGTGGCCGCGGTGGCTAAACAGCTAGTGAATGGCTTCCAGTTCTCAGTGCTGAGACCTGAAGGGCTTGCAGCTGGGAGAATCAAATTTTGGCTCAAGTGAGGTTGTTGAATCAAATTTAAATATTTGTGTCAAATATTTTACATTTGATAAGTGTAGCATTAAAAAAACTCTATTATCTCTCCATTTTCTTCTTCTGGATTCTAAAATGAAGATCTCTGAACTTGTATGTCTCTCTCCACATAGAAATAAATCATAAAACTAACCTATGGTTCTGTCTTGCAAATCTTAGTATTTTCCTGTTGGCAACCAACAATTCACTTTCCTTGACAGGTTATATGTCATAGCAAATGCTGCATAGAGGATCCTTAAGCCACTCAATATATCATCATTTTTTTCAAAATTTAGTGCTGGATATGATGGTATAGGCTTGTAATCCCAGCACTCAGGAGGCGGAGGCAGGAGGATCACTGAAAGTTTGAGGCCCGCATGAGCCACATAGTGAGTTCAAGCCCAGCATGGAGCACATATTGGGACCCTGCCTCAAAAGACTAAAAAAAAAAAAAAAAAACCTTAGCTTGAAGAAGAAATACATCTAATGAAATTTTGCCAAAGACGTTGATGTGAAATGTAGCTCAGTCTTTTGATTTTATTTTAATTGTATTAAAGTGAACTAGGTTGTTCACAATTTTTCCTAGTCTTTTTTTGTCCGTCTGTTTGTTTGTTTTTTGCTGGAGGTAAAGCCCAGGACTTCATGCAGGCAAGGCAAGGGCATTACTGCAGAGCTACATCACTGGCCCACAAAAGCATTTTATTATAGATAGTCACAAATAAATCAAGTAAATAATTTTCTAATACCAGAAAATGGGGATTTGACTTTAAGTTCCTGCTATTTTTGAATGGATTTTAACTTTGTGATCAGCGATAGTTTTCAAGAATATGTGTCTTCAGTCTTCAGAGTATCTGTGAACTTTCCTCATCACTAACACCACAGTGTTCCTCTGTGGTCCCTCTACTTGCTCTCACTTCCTTCCCTATCCCTGTCCATACACACTGTTAGGACTTATGTCTAGATGTTCCCCCGAGCCTCATGCACTCAGAGGCAGGGCTTTGGGGGAAGGCTGGATCATGGGTACATGACATTAGATTATGAGTATATGCTAACTGGATTAGTCCACTGACTGGTTTATCATGGTTCTGGGTATGGAAAATGGGTGTGCACAGGATCAACCAATAGGCTTGTAATCTGAATGGAATAAAACGGGAAAGGAAGGCTTGTTGCTGCTTCCTGCCTGCCACATCACGAACTATTTCTCCTCTGCCATGCTGCCCAACCTTGGAATCAGCTGACTGTGGACTGAAATCTCTACAAACTGTGAGCTAAAATAAACCTTTCCTCCTTTACCTTGTGGCATCAGGTATTTTGCTGCAGCAATGAGGAAGTACCTAAGACACATATACATATAGGTACATATGCATACAAAAACTATTACATGCATATGCCAGCAACAAATGTACTTGGAGATTTCCTTTCTTTACATCATTAGTATCAAATAAGTAATATGGAAAAAACAGTAGGGAAAACAGACTCTATCAGACTATTTTTGGTCTCTTTGCCTAATTAGGTCAGGCTGATTTTCTTATGCCCCATTTTTAGCTCTATTTCTATGGCTTTTCCAGGACCACGAATTACCAGAATAATTTTTGTTGCCCTCTGTCTCAGTGATCTTCTTGAAAGATGCTATTATGAAATGTGCTGTTCCTTTGGATTTGGTTAAACCCTCCACAGGAACTCGTGGCTAATCAGCTTATTTAATTTGTGGCTGTGTCTATGTGGCATTCAAGTGTGTAGTAGAAATACCTACCTAGTGTCAGACCACAGTTAAACTGATTTCCCATTAAAGTGATCAAGAGATTACACCCTCCTCATTAATAATAAATGCTAATGTTTTCAATCCCCTAAGACTCTAGTTAAATTACCATTATACTATTGGTTATGTTGAGAACTCGTTTTTCAAAAAACTTTAGTTTGTAGGCAACTCACTTTGAGTGTTTAAAACACACATTTTGAGGTCTCATCTTTCTAGAATTGTGATTCACTAAGTAGGTACTGTGGTTTGAATGTGAGTTCCACAAGTTCATGTGCTGGAATGCTAATCCCTCAATGTGGCACTGTTGAAAGTTGGGATTTAGTAGGAGATGTTTGGGTGACGGGGTGGAGCCCTTGTGAATAGATTAGTGATTTCTCATGAATGGATTGGCTATCACAAGAGTCTGGTATCTTCTTTTCTTTTCCATTATGTATCAATTTGCTCTTTCACTCATGAGATCCTTGTGATAAGCTGAACAGATGCTAGCGCTGTGCTCCTGAACTTCCTAACCCCTATACCATGAGTCAAAGACCCCTTTTTTCCTTTGTAAATTACCCAGTCTCATGTATTCTGGTACAGTATCAGAACAAAGAGTAAAACAGTAGGAGACAGGATTCAAGAATCTGAATCTCCAACACATATTCCCAGTGATTCCAAATGCAGGTGGACCTAATTCTTCACTCAGAGAAATACAAACTTACATTATATTATGATTATGTTTTATACGAATCCCTAGGATGGTTCAATGTAATCACCTTTGTGAAACTTTCTAAAAACTGAAAATGCATCTATATGGCAGTAGTTGGGAGTACACTGTAGTTTAACATCTATAACAGATCTGGTACATGCTTTAATTTGCATGTTTTTATGTTGGGGTATTTTCAGAGGCGTTTCAAACCTTTAGGTTTATTTGAAACTTCTATTCACTCTTTGGAAAGTGTAATAATGGGCGTGAGCACAGCTTTCAAGGCAACATAGACCAAAAAAGAAGATAACAGAAATAGTACCCAGAGAAAATAAGCTAAAAATAACACGCTAAAGATGCAGCAAAGAGGAGGGAATACCCACAGCTGTGGCAACCCTTTTTCTAAGAGGGAAGAAGAGCTTTTATGTTGAACAGAAAGCTCTTTTCACTTCAGGCCAGCCATGGCACAAATTACAGGTATCTTGTTTGTAGAAATCTTCTTCTAAGAGGATAACTGTGGACTTTTAAAAATTTTTTCAGTAGCAAAAAGGAAGACACAAGAATTAAGTCTGTATAACATTTCTGTGTGGAGGGTCGGGATTAAAAGTTGGCTGGGAAAAGTCAAGAAGGAAGATGCAGGAATTTCAACTTGTTCATATGGAAACATGTACAATGAATATTTGTTGGAATTACTCACTTTAACTTAAATATTCACTCCATCTGTTGTCTCTGCCAAGTCATCAACTACATTTGGTTTGAACTACAAAGCTTCTAGTTTAAATTAAATAGCCTCAGCATGTTCAAACAACATAAAGATTTTAAATTTATGTTACTAGAGGACATTTTGCCCATAATTTATGGCCTTTCTGCTTTGACATTTTCAGAAGTTGGATTTTTTGAAAAATATGTCCTCTCCATCTTATGCTTCCTGTCCTTGCCATCCAGACAGGTTCTCTTTCCTAACAGAGAAAGCCCTTTGCTCTTTACAAAGCAGGAGTATAAATTGCTTCTAGCATATTTCTGTTTGTGAATTGTGTTAATGCCCTCTTGCCTATCTTTATTAGGATCTGTAAATTCAATGCTAATCAGTTCTTTTGGTTTTGAAATACTATCCATCTATAAAATGAACTCACATACTGTGTGCATGTACTGGTGTTGCTGTTAATGCTAAAACTGGCTGTCCGTTAACTTCCCTCTGTGCTACCCTGGGAGGTTTGCTCAGCCCCTCCACCCCAGGACTCCCAGTCACTCTTTGAGCTTTGCAGAATCACTGTTAGGTGTTGCACTTTCTCCCCCATCAGCCTGGAATACTGGTCTAGGCCATAGCTTCCTTCCTTGTCTCTTTGAGACCTCACTCAAAATGTGCCATCTACTGCAAAGCCTTCCTAAACCACGTTATTTAAAATTTTGATTTTGATTGTGGTTCTTAATCCCATCATATTGCTTTATTCTTTTATAACTTTGAGCACCTTCCAACATAATATGTTGCTTTTATCTGTTTTGCACTTGCTAACATTTAAGAGAAGTTTCCAAGAAGTGAATGAACTGAATCTCTTTGCTAGCTGAAGCATATCCAACATGTAGAACTATTCCTTTCTGCCACATAGTAGGTGATTAATAATTTTAAGGTGATGAATTTACTCACAAGTTTAACTTTATAATAAGGGAAAACACCATGTTACAGACATAAATATACTATTAAGTGTATAGATTTACAAGTAATTGAAACTACTCAAATTTTTCAGTTTCTTTTATTTGAAACTGATTCATCAATTTTATCTCAAGACTCATTGCCACACAGTGTTTCTATTTATTGGTTAACTCTCCATAACTTTCTAAAGTGGGCATTATTACCTAATTTTTCAGGAATTACAAAGTATAAATGACTTGATCAAGATTATAAAATTAGTGTGAAGTTGATACATGAACATACGCTTTTGTTATGTCAGTCATTATGCTACATTGACAAATACTACCCATCACTCCTACTAGCTTTAAGAATACCAAAATATCCACAGTGACACTTTAATAATAATAACAGTCCTTGGTCTGGGAGACTGACTTCTATACAGAATTTCAAATTAATTCCAAATGTCATTGAAATATATTGATAAAATATCATATTTCATATTTGTATTATGCAAGGTAGTAGTAGTTGGATCCATCAATAATAATCTTATCTGTAGAAAAATTTTTTATCTTAAAACTCTTTTGGTCTGCATGTCTATTTTTTCCTAAATGGAGTGCAAGTTCCAGATTATTAATATAGAGATGATTTTTATTTATTAAAGTATGCTTTGCATCTTTACTATAAATTATAAAATCCTGATCACTTGTGTACCATCTTTTCTCTCAATGAACAGCTAACCAGTATGCTAGATTAAATTTTGTGATTATCACTCTTACTTTTATTAAAGTATTAGTCCTTATAGAAAGGATATCATACCCCTTTGTTGATTTGAAGTGTTTGCTTTAAATTAATCATACAAAGTGTCTTTTAAAACATTAATCCTAAAGTATCATACCAGCTCAGATTAACCTAATTAGATGACTTTGACTTTCACAGCATATGAAATTTTAATAAACCAAAAAGAGTGTTCAAGGCATAACTGTACTTATGACTGATCTCAGAACCATTTATGTTATTTAACAAGTAAAATGTATTAACAGCAAAGTGCATTTTTTAAAATTTGAAAACAGCTAAAGAATTGGATAACTGGTTTTAAATTGGACTCTTCAATATTCTTCAAAGGCATTTAGGTGATTATTTTATTCAAATGTATCATGGTAGACTAATGGAGACTCAGCTCAGCACAACCTACCCATCGAAGGTTAAAGAAAACCTCCAGAGACATTTCTTTTCAACTTTCACGCATATGTTACAGTTGCAGTCTCAGGTGCTATGGCAGAGATCCATTCATAAAGATAGGTTTGTCTGAAACCCCCAAACGGCAAAGGTGAACAAAAGCTAAAATCAGTTCAGTCGAGAGAAAATCCTGAGAGTAGGTTATACTCCCCCAAAATTAAGAAATACGATCTCAACATTATGAAATGTTTAAAGTTATGAGTGGTTTAAGTTTTAAAATCTCTTCTATGCACAATTTACAATAAGAATGTAAGTAGCTAAATGGAGTACCCTGCCTCCGCTTAAAGTCAGTAGTACGAACACATACCCACAGGATAGATGCACATCAAAAGGGAATAGCAAAGACAAAACACACAAGAGCATGTAGCAGACATCCCTACCTGGTGAGGGGAGCAGAACTTCTTGTCACCAGTCAGCCGGTTTCCATCCATGGAGAAAAGGAAGCTTCTCCTTTTGACACTGTCTTCTGATTCTGACTTGGGAAACCTGTCTCTCTCTCCTCTGTTGTTTCCTTCAGGATGGTCCCTCTGTCTTCTTTTCTTCCTTCGGTTCCTCCACTCCTTGGCACTTTTGGAGCTTAACTTGGATGCTTCAGAAGAACTTTCCAAGAGCTCTCCTAACCCACCTATCCCACTGAAATCGCGTGAAGCAGCAGATGCAGCTGCAACTGCCTGTTGTGAAACAAAGCCAAACACTGTTTAGAATGTGTAATTTGCACAACAGGTGACTGTGGTAGAGATCTGACCACCTAGGACTATTCACTATATGTGAAAATGATGTCTTCTGGTTCTCTTATTTTTCTTTAACAAGAGAGTTTATTTAATGACATTCCTTAAGTCCATGTATGTGTTAAGGCATGAAACCTGTGGTCTCACATATCTCCTGGATTGGATTAGTTTTTCTTCTAACTCAGTTGAGATTAACTTCAGTTTGGGGAACACTGGAGCTCTTAAAATTATTCTTTATACTTTAAAAATAATGTTTTCATGGTGTAGCTATTCCTTTGATCACTATTCCAATTCCATCCATTGGGTCACTCTCCCCATGTAAAGCTATGAACAACTGAGTGGTATTATTTTTTCCTTTAAATCCAAGACAAAACCCTTTTTCTCTTCTGTTTTCCGAACTCAAAATATTTAAAGTCTGTACTATTTTACCCCTGATGGAAATGGAGGGAATGTACTGGCTAGATTTTCTTCATCCATTATTTGAATTACATTTAGAACTAAGGTTCACATCTCTGGGGTAATGTTTATCTCAGAGAATTTATTATGCAGTACTTTTGACTTTTAAAATTTAAGTTTTTACATATTGTGCATTATTAAGTGATTAACATATAAATATAATAAATGCCTGAAATATTTTTCAAGAGATTATAAGAACTTCAAATATTTTTTTCAACATTTCAGCACTAAATTTTCACAAGCATTTTGAGTTCCACTATCTACTAATGAACTACAGCTAACTTTGAGGTAAAATATGGCAAGTGTTTTGTGTTTCCATGTATGGTATTTGTAGACTGGAAATGATTTAACCATGACTTCCAGATGCTATAAATCAACACTATGATGCACAGCAAAGCTGAGCTCTCATTAGGTGTATTCCTGTTTTCAAACAACCATAGAAGTAGGAATAATTTAATTATGAAAATATTAGTTACAGTTTTACATTTATCATTAAGAAATACAAAGAGATCTCATTTTATCTATGTTCCCTCTGGACTGTAAATTAGATAAAAATTTTGTCATTTTTTATATGAAGAAGGTCTGGAATGTCTCTGGCTATAAAAAGCGCTCAGTAAATGTATGGTGACTAAAGATTTTAAAAAGATGACTTGGCCTTGACTTTTCTAGATCTTATAAACCATTGTATGTCAGAGTGGCCTATGTGATAGCAACATATTTTAGGACAGAATGAAGGTGAAACACATGTACAGAGCTTTGGCAACACATTGTGCTTTATCCCCCAATGAAGTAGTTTTTATTTTTGAATTATTATTATTTTCAACTAAAATTGATTTTATTTTTAGCTGAAATTATTAGTATTTTTAACTAAAAATTTTTTAAATGTTTAAACAAAAAAAAAAAACTGTGCTCAATATTCTCTAGGATTAACATGACCTGAGAGGAAGGAACTATACTACTAAATATAGTTGAAATGTATATGTTGACCTAGCCAACACTATAAATGTAATACAAATATTTATTTATATAGAACACTACATTCATACAGAAATCTAGATCTAAAACTTGATAGAAGACAGTCTCTAGTCTTTAAATTTAGAAATTATAAAATATTTATAAAATTGATTGGATTTAGATAGCCAGATTTCTTCATAATTCTTGCTTCTCACTACCACTTCTAATATCATCTATTGCTAAAAATGAGGAATATTAAAGTATTTTATAATTTGATTATCTATGTATAATAATATGAACAAATTAAACACTTGCGTGTAGCAAGTCAAGCATAGTGACATACTACTTGATAGTAGGAGCTATTTAATATACAACATTCAATGAAGGAATGAATATAAATTTGTCATTTTTATTCAAATAAAGTCCTGAATTCTTCTTTCTCCCTTGTACAGATATAAACACAGTGATAATCACTTGTTTACTTATTTTTCCCTGGAAACAAAGGAAATGCTGGTAATAATCCCTTAGCAAAATCCTGAAACACATGTTTATTTAAATCACTTCTGGAATTTGTTTTGCACCAAACATGATTTCCCTACTTAGTTTGAGTAGCAGTTCAAATAACTCCGAACCAAAATGGATTTTTAAGGCAACAAAGGTAACCCCCAACACAACAGATTTTCAGTGTCACTCATCAACTCAAATCTGTCACTTGTTCCACTTACAGAGATTTTCCAAATCCCTCAAAGGCAGATGTTTCCTGTCATCTCTTGTGTCTGTCTACCTGTTTATAACCAGCTCCATGACACTACCAATGTCCTGTTTACTTGAAATAATAGTGACTCTTTCTACAGTCAACTTCCTGAATTTTTCTTGTAATGAATAACAAATTAGTATTTAATACTTACATAGATAAGAATATTTTTCTTAAGACATTTCTCTGTGATTCAAAATAACTTTATAACTCATGGTATGTGTCCTTAAAGATATAATCACATAACTAATACTTTGCTTATTTTAAACATAAAATCCCAAAGCCATAAAATAGCAGTTACACCTGTTTCAATTGTATCTCTAATTATATTAGATCTCCTAAATGCCATTTCTAATTTTGTTCTATAGTTTACTCTTTTTTTTTCTATCAGACCTATATATACTGTGATGAGATATGCTAACCTGAATAATATCAGACATTTAAAACCATAAATGCCAAACAATTACAGTGTTCTTGCATAAAACATTTATTTCTTTGTAGCGTTGACCTTTTTCCGTCTTTTAAAGTTGCATTTTATTTGTGAGTTTAATGAACTGAATATGTCATTTCTTTATGTCCACATAATGACTAGCATGAGAAGACCCTAAATAGAAGTTAAATAAAAATGGAAGTAATGTAGGCTTCGTGAAGTCATTAGGTATATAATGAGTTTTGCAAAGTTAGTGAGCTCAAACTAGGATACGCTACAGTACAAATAATTTCAGTGAGTCTTTCCCTCCCTCTTCCCCCAACTAATTTTGCCTTCAACTTCTTGCTCTGCTTCAACATTGGCTTTACCAGTCGTCATTCTATTTGTTGTCAATAAGGAAGCTTGACTTGGTACTGTACTGTCCTAATAAGTATTACAGCAGTTTCCCTGAATATTGTTAAGCTAAATCTGAGTCAGATTATGACTATTCAATCACTGGAATCTGATAAATAATTTTAAGTGGATAGAATTGACAATTTTAACTGAATTAATTACTATGCAGAGAAGAAGGATCTTTAAATGTTTATAAGACACACTATTTCTATACTCCTAAAGTTTACACTATTTAATCAAATTTATATTTTACCCTAAGTGTGGCTACATCTCAGATTAAATTTACTCTTGTATTATCTGTATAGCATTTTCAAGTGGACTATCTTGTCTCTTTTTATAAATAATGATAGAATAATGTTTTATAGGACAGTTATAGGCAATATATACACATTATTTTCTATAAAATATACTTTTAAATTGAAATTAGAAATGTCCTTCCTCTCTAAGTAGCTATCTTACTTTGCTATCTTATGAATGTTTTATTTATAGTAACAAAATAGAGGCACCCATCTTCGGACCGGTGGCTCACTCCTGGCCTCGTAGTTCCCTGGAAGGAGGGCTTCCGGTGCACAGGGAGCCACGGGTGGGGAGCGCCGGTCTTCGGACCGGCAGCTCACTCCCGGCCTCGTAGGCCCCCGGAAGGAGGGCTTCCAGCGCACGGGGAGCCATGGGCGGGGAGCGCCAGTCTTCCGGCTGGCTAGCTTCCTGCCTCATAGCTCCCGAAGGGAGGGCTCCCGGCACACAGGGAGCCTTGGGCGGGGAGCGCTGGTCTTCCAGCTGGCTAGCTTCCTGTCTCGTAGGCCCCCGGAGGGAGGGCCCCCAGCGCATGGGGAGCTATGCAGCGGCGAGCGCTGTTGCATGCCAGCCCTTAGGCCAGCCACTGCTGCCGCTCAATTGAGATCTATCATGACACAGAGAAACAGTGACACAATTGGCCCACCATGCACCGACTGCAGTTGCCCACCCACGGATGTGTGTGAATCATT